TGCCACCCCCGTCCTGATCTTTTGGGGGGCGCAGAGGGTGGCCCACAGCTGGAGTGCTTTGGTCAGGCGTTGAGACTGGTGCTCTCATTCGGCCTTGGCTCCTGAACGGTTGGGCTGTCCCCCTGTCTGACCCTGTGCTCAGTCTGGGAGATGTGTGGTGGGCTGGGCTGGGGTGCACAGATTCAGCAGACCAGGGACTCTAACAGAGGCGGGGCTTGTGAGCTGGGATGTATGTCCTCTTGGGGGAGGAAGGATGGCAGGTGAGTCGGGCCAGGAGGGGGATTGCGATCAGTCCAGGGCCAGCAGCTGGCAGCAACATCCCGGGTGGGCCCCCTCTGGAGTCCTGAGGGCCAGCTGCCCTCACCACTCGCCCAGGTAGTGCTTGTCCTCTGGCTCTGGGCCCAGCTCGAGGGCTGCAGAGCACAGGCAGACCGGGGGACGGGCGAGAGTCCCAGTTACCAGTCTCTGGGGTCCAGGGCGGGATCTGGAAGGTCAGCAGCATCCTCTCCTGGACTGGTTTCCTGTCGAGAGCTTGATGGAGTCTGTGAGGTAGTTCTCCAAGATGCTCTGATACTGGAAGAGAGAGAAGACTCAGGGCTTATGTCCAGAGGCTGGGCTTTCTGTGGCCCCCATGGTAATGCTGGGAAACTGAAGTCCAGGGAGGAAGGGCCACTTGCTTCCCCCCATCCTCCTTCCTGCACATCCCGCTCCTCACGTCTTTTCTAAGGAGCCCAGGAAACAGCTGGGCGAGGGGTTCGGGTCCCCTCACTTTCAGGCGGGTCCCATAACTCTCTCTTCTCCAGAGGGGACAGCCTACTCCCCACTTCCTCTGAAGAACACCCCCTCTACCCCCTCAACACCCTGTTCACCTCCCACCTGGCACTGGAAGCACCCAGTCAGCCCTCTGTCCCTGCATGTCCTGCCCCTCAAAATAGACTCGATGTTTCCACTGGGAAACATCTTCTCTGCCTGATCCCCCAAACCCCTCTTGTTCCCACCAGAGCCCAGGAAAGCCCTTTCAGAGTCCGACAACACTCTGCTCACCCAGCTGAGCGAGACCTCCCACCCCATCTCCTTGGCTGCAGGGGGATCATCCTGAAAGGAGATGGCATCTGTGGTCTGAAGGGTTCTTAGAGGACCACATCTCCGTCCCCTGCCACGGCTCTCACAAGCCACAGGGCGCAGCGGCATCCCTGTTGCTCCTACGGTTGGCACTGCGTGGGAGAGCGAGTAGTCAGGAGTGTGGCCAGAGCAGGGCCAGAACCTACTAGGAGATCCGTCTGTCCTTCTGAAGGGAGAACTTCCAGGGACAGGGCTGTGCCTTCTCTCTGATAGTTCTCTTGCCGGCTGCCCAGCAGATGCTCAGGGAATAGCTTGGGGGCTAGGTCACCCACCCACCAGACCAAGGTCAGGCTTCAGGAAGGGATGCCAGGCCCAGCTTCCTGTGCCCTGATGATGTCTCATGAGAAAGTCCATCCGATACTGCATGACTCGCCTCCAGGGCAGACAGCTCAGGGCCCTGAGCCTGGGACTCGGCTTTTGTGCACAAACAGGCCAAACCAAGTTCACTGCCATCGAGTGGGCACAGACTCATAGGTCACCCTCTAAGGTGACCGGAAGGCAGAGCTGCCTCTGTGAGTTACCGAGACTGTAATTCTTCATAGGCGTAGAAAGCCTCATCTTGCTCCCGAGGAGCGGCTGGTGGTTTCGAACTGCGGGCTTTGCGGTTAGTGGTCCAACTTGTAACCACTAGGCCGCCAGGGCCCTTCATTTTAATGGTAAATGCGGCTTCACGCAGTGCGTTTGTCACAGAGCGAAGGTTTGAGGCCACCCACCCTGTGCCGGGCAAGTCTGTGTGTGCCATTTCTCCAGCGGCACCTGCTGCGTGGCGGTCAGGTAACGCTCACGACATTTCAAATGTCTTCAGAATGCTCATGCACACCTTGCAGACAACAGTCCGGGGGAAATGTAACTTTTATGTGCATCTGCGAAACCCAAAATGTCCATGTGCAGGGAGCTGAGACCTGCAATATCTCTGGGCTGCACTTGCAGCCTGTTTCTTGGGGGTCCCCCTCTCACACTTCCTCCCTGGGAGGGTCTCAGGGCTGCAGAGCTCTGAGTCAGCCTGGATGATGGGTCTAGAGACTCTAGACTGTCCCTCAGAAAATTCTTTAGAGTTGTTAGAATTTCATTTTATTTTTCCTAACTAGGAAGAATCCGTGCTGGCTGGGGTGGGGGGGTGGGGGGGCAGTCTGTACTCTTCAGAGGAAGGCCTGTCCCTCCCAGAAGTTCTGAGTAGATCCCTGTGCTGCACACGGGTCTCCCTCTTCCTCCAGGGGGCACCAGAGCCCACTACATACAGGCCTTTCTGAAGGTGTCCAGGCCTCCTGCCCTGCTCTGGGGAACAGAGAGCCAGCCCAGAGGCTCCTGGGGAGACGCAGCGGGGCAGCGTGGGTACAGCGCCCAGCCCAGGGGGACAGCTCCGGCTTCCAAGGCCTAGACACGAGCTGGCCGTCCAGTTGTCCCCTTTGCTCTGAGTGGGGCCCTTCATGTGAACGGAGAGCTGGAGGGTTCTGAATCCCCTAGTGAGGGACGAGGAACCGTAGCAGAACATCACTGTTAAAGCAGCCCCCCTGCACCCCCACTTTATACGAACGGATTAATTCATCCCAGCAAGGCAGGGCTTTGAAGGAGGTCTCTTATTATGTGGCGTCTTCTGGCTCCACTCTCTCATCAAAAGGGGCCCGCTGGTGTATTGGGGATGTGTCAGGCGGCTAACGGGAAGGTCAGCGGTTCGAAACCACCGGCCTCTCTGCAGGAGAAAGACAGGGCTTTCTACTCCTGTAAAGAGTTACAGTGTCGGGAACTCACAGGGGCGGGTCCACTCTGTCCTGCAGGGCCACTGTGAGTCAGCATCAACTCGATGACGTGAGTTCGGCTTTTGAATTTCCCTCATCTGGGGAGTCCCTGGGTGGCACCAAGGGTTAAACACCTGACTGTAACCTCAAAGGTTGGTGAGCTTGAGCCGGCCCAAAGGCACCGCGGCAGGAAGGCCTGGCCATCCACTTCAGACCAATCAGCCACTCGAGACCCTGAGGACCGTCATTCCACTCCGACACATGCGGGCAGGGCTGCGGTGAGTCAGAAGCCACCGGACAGCGGCAGGTTTGGTTTTCCGGCTTTCACTCATCCTGAAACCTGAGGAGCCCTTGACTGGGGTCGGGGGCTTTCCTACCAGGGTCTTTTGGAGGGAGGGGCAGGCTCTGCTAGTTTAATGCTCTGATGCCCACCCTCCTGTGACCAGTAGACCCAGCTGAGATCCCAGAGCCCTGGAGCCCTGGGCTGTAATCGAGTGACCCTGCTGGACGCCAGACTCTTGGGATGGGGCGCTGAGCCTCTGCTGATGTGCAGGACTACCGGCCAACATGAACTCTGGCTTGGGTGGGTGTGAGAAACTGCCTCGCACAGCTACCTCGGCCAGGCTGCCGGTCTTCACGCTGGTTCTTGGAACTCAGTCCACCCGGAGCTCCATTGTGCTGTAACTTTATTACCACCTGATAAGGGCAGCTTCTCGGGTTTCCTGCCAACCTCCCCATGTTACCTTTGGGCTATCAGCAGGGTTCTTTCCTGCAGGCCCTGGTCCTCCGGGTAGCTTTCAGTATGGAGGACACGCTGGTGTGCTGCGGACACATCCGGTCAGTGGAGGGGCAGCTAGGAGCTTCTGTGCCCACCTCCTCGCACCCCCAGCCCCAGCCCGGTCACCTCCGTGGCCCTGCCATTAGCTCCTGGGTCCTGAGGACCTCGTCCAATGCCTGCCACGTCCCCGAGCAGCTGCCCGCCAGCCCACTGTCCTCCTGCGCACGGCACGATGGGCTTGTGAGTGGAGAACAAGGGACCGGCTGCAGTTACCCAGCTTGAGCAGGGCCCGCGGGGTGCAGGTGCTTCGGGAAGACACAGCCCACACTCTCAGAGCAGGTGGCTGTCGCTCTTTAAGGGCAAAGGTATTCCTGATTGTAGTCTGGAATCACAGGACCCCCTGATGGTGGAAGGCAGACAGCCATGTGTTAACTGAACACCTGCTCTGGGCTCTCAAGAGAAACGACTCAGGAAGCAGTGTCCAGCCCAGAGCTCACTGCGATTGCCGGACAGGGCCACCCAGCGTTGGCTACAGGTCTCCACCTGGTGTCTCACAGGGACCTTGACTGCAGTGTGCCCCCAAGGACCCTGCATCCCCTCCTCCAGCCACGTCCTGCAGACTGATTCCCGCCTTGGCTCCCAGCAGCACTGGGAGTGCGTCAGCCCCCAGTTTCTTCAGCGAGAAACCTGGAAGCCCTCGTCTGCTGCGGATTTCCTTCTGCCGCCATCGGGCTCTCTTGAGCCCCTGGGTGGTCTGTCTCCTGAATCTCCTTTATCTGCCCTTCCTGTGGCTCCACCTTCCCCTGCTAGGACTATTGCCTAGCACCTTTTGCCCCTCCCCGCCCTTATGGATTGAGTGGTGTCCTCCCCCGAGACCAGAGTTGCAATCCTAACCCTTATTGCTGTTGATGCGGCCCTGCATGCGAACCACATGTTCTTTGCATCGATGATATTATGTAGATGTCTGGGTGTGTCCTCAACCCAGAAACTTCCAAGTGATGCAAAAAGCAGGCCAGACACAGAGGTGGGCACTTCCCAGGGAAGACAGACACCGTGTGTGGGTCAACAGGAACCAAGGGACACCTGGGCGGCCAACAAGAAGGGCCGGCCCAGCAGAGACCGTGATTTGGACTTTGGGCTGCCAGCACTGTGAGAAAATGCCTTTCGGTTCTTTAAAGTCACACATGATAATTCAGACACCTCCCACAGGGCCCGCTCTCTCTGTAGCTCAGAACCCTTCGCCCCCATTAAAAACCAGCAAACCTTAACAGTTCACCAAAGGTGACGTCCAACAAACATAGGAAGAAATTCTCAGGATCACTAGCCATCCGGGACTTGCAAACCCAAGCAACGATGATGTACCATCTGACACTGGCAATGACAGCCAAGATCCAAGCCAAGCGACCGACAAACCCCCTCCAAATTGGGAGACAAATGCTGGGGAGGAGGCAAAGAAGTTGGAGCCCTCGTGCCCGGCTGGGGGGACTGCACATCTGTACCCCTCCTCCCCCCCACTGTGGGAAAACAATACGGCGCTACCTCAAACCGCTGGGAAGAGGAAGGTCCTACGGCCCAGCCATCCCGCTGCTGAGTGTATATGCTAAAATAGGAGGACTCCAGGCACGAACAGACAGATGCACACCCATGGTCATCGCCCCACTGTCCACACGGCAAGGAGACGGAGACAAGCTAAACATCCGTCTGCAGAAGGATGGATAACGAATACTTGCATCCCTCCAACCACGGTGGCACCTGCAGGCCCTCAGCACGCTGGACCAGGCCGCCGAGAAAGCAGCCATTCGCAAGAGGACACCGTTTCTGAGACCACTGCTAGAAGGTGGAACAAGAGAACAACCAACCCAAGACATAGGCCTTCCTAGCAAAGGGAACAGACTCTGGGGATTGTCAAGAGGGAGGGTCAAGCCACAGGCTGGACC